TCTCTTAATTTCAACCCTCGGGGGCTCCCCAACCTTTGTCTGTCCCCTCCCGGAGGGGGATTCCTTTAGCCTCTTTCTCCTCTTCTACCACCATCCCTTCAGGTTTCCCGAGGAAGCCCAGCAAAACACGCACCTCCGAACTGCTCCTTCCTCAAAGGAGGGTGCCTCATAATGCCCCCCCATGGGCCCAGGAAGAAGGTAGACCGGCCTTTAACGATGAGTAAAAGACGCAACCCGGCGCTTCGCTCACCTCCGAAAGCGGCGGCAACAACAGCAGCAGCAGGCGCCGCTGGGCCTGCATAGCGAAGAGGTTCCTCCCGGGGCCGCGAGACCTCCTCTCTCCCGAGTGGGGCCTTGCGCTAAAAGCGAGCACCAGAAAGGCCGACGCGGAGCCTAAAAGGCTCCCCCGCCCGTCTGTCCCTCAATTCCCAACCGCGAGGCCGCTTGCGGCCAGCGGGCTCGGCTGACTTTAAGCTTATTCGGAAGCTACCTCAGCAAACCGGTAACCAGCGCCCCCTGTCAGGTTCCAGGAGCGGTGCACGGCACTGCGCCACGAGCCCAGCGCCTGACCGGCCTCCTCAGGCCACCGCCGTACGGCTGCGTGGTAGAGCGACGCCGCGGATGAGATGGCGAAATTGCGCGTCCTCCGCTTGCTCGGTTCCCTCGTATTCCCCGTTGGACTTCCTTCGCGGAGGCTGGGAGCCCCCGCACGCGGCGGGCGTTTTTGTCTGTGAGGATTCCTGCAACCAAAACTCACACGCGCCTGAGAAAGGGTCGTGAGAGGGCAGTTTGTCTAAAAAAATAAATAAATAAAAAGGACAACTCGCTCTGTTTTGGAGGTAGGTCTACCAGACTTGGGACAACACATATTTCAGTGACCTTAAAAAGGCGGAAAGAATTTTCTGCGTCCCTTTGCTGCCCTCTTATGTTCGTTTTTTTTTTCAGGCACTCGATTTTGTGATCTTCAGTGCTGTTATCAACATCTTTCCATTCTGCATATTTTTTTCTTGAGTTCAGCGTTTAAATTAGCTGTCTCTGTCACACACAAACACACACACACACAAACACAAAGCATGTGTCTAGCTTGTATAGATAGTCCTTACGGCCACAATTGGGACTTCCATTGCTAAGCAATATATTCACTGAGTTGTGCTGGTTTTACAATTTTTTTTGCCACAGTTAAGTAAAACACATCATTGTTAAATGAAACTGGCTTCCCAATTGACCCTATTGCAGACGTCAGCTGGGATGGTTGCAAAGGGCAATCTGTTGCAACCATTGTAAATACATGCCAGTCGTCAGGCACCCAAATTATGATCAAGTGACCATGGGAATGCTGCAATAGTCACTTTTTTCAGCACGTCCTAACTTGAAATGGTCACTAAACAAATGGTTGTTAAAGACTACCTGTAACTTTTGGCCTGGCAAATATGTTGTCTTCTGTATCTGACTTCTTTGAAATTTTAGTAACTGATGTATTCTTTTACAGTATTTTCTATTCAAATTTCACATATTTCAAGTCAGTATTTGAGAGTTTTCTGTTGACTAAAGAATAGGAAGGTAGCTACTCTTTAACTTAACAGTGAATAGGGAAAGGCTCTATGTAAAAACAATTTCTGGAATAGCCATCAAAAGCCAAACTCTTGAGGTGCCTTGCATACTAGCATATTACCAAGTGTTTTCTTAGATCTCAGCCACCAGATACATAAATAGCTGGAAAAAAAGAGTATAGATGAGTATGCTATATCCTACACAGTTTGTTAGGGGAGAGAGCAGTAGTGAGAATTACCTACAGGGAGTGATAATTGAGAAAATAATGATTAAGACAATTACAGAAGTATTGGTGAAGTCATAGGATGTCTGATTAACCCTATTAGTGTAATAAGCAGTTTTGTCTCAATCTCTGAGAAAAGGCATTAAATCTGAGGAAACATGGCTCAGGGATTCACAATGAAATGCGCCTTTATGATTTCTTTTGTTAAGGAAAGCCATTCTAAGGTCAACGAAGATTCTAGTGTGTTAAAAATGTTCCCTGCTGACTTTAGGCTACTATTTCTGATGCCAGATTACGTCAATTTCTGTTATTATGTAGAGATTGGCTTGTTTCTGATAAGAGGATGGCCACATTGGAGGAGCAAGTGTTTCCTGGTGATGTGGTGATACAAGTGCTACAACAGTATTGGCAAAGCAAGTATTATAAGAGTTCCCATCCGTTTGTACAGGATCTGGTTTGTGTTATCTGCATCATTGAGGTTGGTTTGTTGCTACTAGTTACTAGCTTCTTTAGAATAATTATAGAATATATTGTAAAGTTATATTACCTCCTTCTGCGGGCAGGTGGAATAGTGGTCCCCCTGTTTAAAATAGTTTGGTGCCAACATAGGTTTTGATTTATTATATATATGGCTGCCCAACTCACTGCAATTCTGGGCAGCTTATAATAACCAAACACAAGATCAGCAGTTCTGTTCAAATAAAAGCAAGCCCTTCATAGGTGATCTTGAAATTGTAATTCCCTCCTCGTGCTATATAAATGTACACTAGCTTAAAAGTAAATCCCCTGCATTTAATGGAATTTAAACCTAATTAAAGGTGCAAAGGAATGCACATTCAGTAATGCTTAGGAGCTGGGATCCTATGTGTGCTCTTACAAAAAGGATTTTATAGAACATTTGAAGATGTGTTGTTTTTAATATTTTGGATTTTATTATTTTGATGTGCTACTGGAAACATAGAGCTGCTTTAAGTGGTGATGTACAAATAATTGTAATATAATCAATAGTTTAATAGTACATTCCTAAACCTATTTACGCAACTAATGTGAACATCGTTCCCTGGGTAGGTGGCAGAACTAATATTCCCAATAAATATCCCCTCATACTAACTGCAGATATATGGCTGCTCCACACTTCCTGCTTTTTCTAGCACATGGACAAGGCACCTACCATTTTAGGTTGCAGGAACAGATGGATGTTACACAGATAAAAATAGTTTATTTTCAGATTGACAGATTTCAATAAAGAACTATTTTCTGGCTTTTAGCTGGTCTTAGTAAATGGGACCAATTAACTGTTTAATTAATTGCTTTCAAATTATGTTTTAAAACAATATTAAGAGAATACACATCTTTTAGTAAGTGAAATTTTGATTATCAGGGATATCTAAAATCAGAAGATAAAAGCTTGGATCAGTTGTTTTTCTGTTTGTTATGATATCATCATATAAGTTAATACTTTTCTTAAGCAAGCTGTTGCTTAGAATTCAGACAACTGGGGAAAGGAATAAAATTAGGGTTCTCAATGTAGACATATGGCAGTAGTGGAAAGCTGCATTTGGCTGCATTAAAAGTTCTGGAAAAAACAAGCTGCCAATTAAGTCCTGCCCAGTTAAAATAAGCAACCTAGTAAACATTTTCTTCCTTCACATTTCCATCTTGTTGCCCATATTAGTATTTTTAGTGCCATCAACATACCTATATCATGAGAATGTATTCAGCAAATCAGACATTCTCCACATAATGCTTTTCACAGCAGTCACACATATTAAGTGATAATGAATTTTGACTGGTTTTAGCCTAATGCAAGAACCTATTTATTATCTTTAGTGTCATTTGTAAACCAGGCGTCTATCACTTCTTCAACAAACTATGGTTTAAAAACCCTGGTTTACCATTATATATCAACAAAGATGCTGTGTTCAGTTTTACATTAATGAAACTGAACTGTGGGAAAATATTTAAACATAAACATCTTTTTTGTCCCGAAGAGAGTATATATGGATACAAACAGTTATTTTTAATATTTAAACCATCTAGTCTTTTTCTCCCTGTCTACATTAAATCAATTGAAAAGAGAAACTAAAAATATGTTAAATAATAAGTTTTGTTTTATTTCAAGCTATTGCTAAAGAAAATACTGAAATTTTGTAGGACCAGTAAAAGGCAAATCCAAAGTGATTACTCATGTTAGATTTTCCATGTAACACAATTTACCTTCTCCCTATATGATCACTGAGATAACCTGAAATATATATAATCATTCAGATTATCTGAATCTGGTCACTATATTATTTGTATTAGTGTTTGACACTGATATACTAAAGATACATGAATGTAATTAATAAGTCTGCTGACAAACTAAAAACTGAGCACCATAATTTAATACCATAATTCACATTTAACTAGGATTAGAAAAATGTTTCTTAAAAGTTTGAAAGTGATCTATCTTTACAATAAATTTAAAGTATTATGCAAATTCTAAAAAAATTACTGGATGGCTCTAATATATTAAGCTATGAACCTAAAGAAATATCAAAAAGGCTCAAATCACATCAACGACTCATGTAAGAGTATCACCAATAAAATTAATATTTCAATGAATTGTTTTAATCTTTCTGTAACCTACTGCCTCATAGGAAATATGTCAATGCATTGTTATTTTTTAAAAAAACTTGATGAGGTAATGTACTTGTTACGGACAAATGATCAAATGAAAAATTATCATGAGAACAAATGCAGTGATGGTATCAGGACTAAAATGCTTAATTTATTTCAGGATGCTGATAGCCCCATATAAATAGCAAATGATGTTTGGGCAATATAATCAAAATCTTAAAATGGACTATATCTTTTGTTATTATTTGTTTAATTATGTTTCTATATGTTATAATACCTCAGGAAAAGAAAGCATTAAGTAATCAACAGTTCTTTCAATTTACAATAGTTTACATTAAATTCTCTTTTCCAAACATGATAACTGTATTGTTATGAACTTTTAAATGATCATTACATTCATTAGTAAAAGTTCCCTGCAAAGAGATTTCTAAAAGTTCTCCTAGTGTAAAAGCAATGTAAAAAGTATATCAACTGCATATGTACATTTTGCAGTAAGAGAATACATTTTCAAAAACGAGGCACAGTAAACGTATTACTAATTAAACAGGTTGCGCATCCATATTTTGTTCCGCTGTTTGAAGAGTTAACACACATTAGGGAACATCACCTCCTTCTAATTATTTTATTAAGATCCATGTATTATATAAAATAGAACAAGAAAATCTATAAAATCAAGTGAGCAGTTCAGATGACATTACAAAATCTGTTTTGGGAAGTCAACCTGATATTATTAGAATGCTGTATTGCCTCAAAATATAGTTGCTGGGTGCATATATCAGCAGAAAAAGCAGATATATCTAAGAAGTATACCAAAATAAGCTGTGAAAAAAAGGCTTTTTCAAGCCCTGATTGGCCTCAGCAAGATTTACAATGGTGTTTCATTGTAAATACATCAAGTTTCTTTGAAGAACCAAGAGCTTCAACTGCAAAGATTATATTAAGCACCTTTGTTTGAAGAGTTTCACAGAGCATTTACTGCCACTATTATCTAACAATTAGGGCTCATGTTTACAGAAGTGACTGCAAAACAACATCAACCCACAATAGAATGCGGGATAAATGTAAAGAAGGTTACATTCAAAACTGATGGATTATACCTTTGTGAAATGCTACTGCCAGTACATTTAGTTCTTTCCTTGTGAATTCTATGTATTCCAAGTTACATTTCCCAATTTTAGTGTCCAAATGTAAAAACGTTTACCAGCTCTTAGGGGCAAAATTATTATAATACACTATGTTTCTTAACAAAATAACCTACCTGTACATGACAATGCACTATTTTCTAATTGAAAATATGAGCAAAAGTGATAACCCCTTATCAAAGCAAAATAATACTACTGGAAAAGACACCCAGGCTAAGAAATGTATTGCCTAGCTGAGATAGAGATCAAACCATGCACAGCATCTTGAAGAGGGACTAGCTGAAAGTGTAAACACAAGAAAAAACACAAGGCAATGGATGCTGTAGAATGTATCCTCCAATCTTTATCTCAGTAAATGTAAATATGTATATCACCAAGTATCTTATAGAGGACAAGAAAAATTATATCAGAGATGCAGCATTGATATTTGGCTCAACCTAGAATCAGGGTGCCTCACTGAACATGGAGTACAGTATATGATAGCACGTAAATGCAACCCAAGTTTATTATTAAGATGAAAAGAGCTTTTAACAGTAAAAGAGAAGCTCTTATGTGTAATATTTTTTAAAGTTGCAATAAACATGCATACCGATAGCCTATCTTTGGTAGAAATTAAAACCAAAAGAAGGCTGATGAGAAACTACACAAATACACCATTAGTATGGTCAAGTACATATGTAAATATAATAATTAATACAGAAATTAAAACCAAATGGTAATTAATAAGCGGCATCCCCAATTTATTACTTTTTTCATTATTTGACGAGAAATATCTGATTGCAATAACGAAGTTTACTTTAGCCAAATTGAAATTTTCTTTTATTTCTACTTTAAAGGGTGAAGGGAAAATCAAGTAGATCTGCTCTCCAATTTCCTCAACTGTACATTAAGCAACATACATACATTCACACACATACGCACACACCTTAATCTGCACTGAAAATGTCTTTTTAACTCAAAAGGTAGATCCTGGAGTAAGTGCAAAATGCAAAAATCAACTGACAGGAAATGCTGAACAAACAGCATAATTAAAATACAAAATATTTTATATTATTGAACTATTAAACGGGTAATGTTCGCTGTTTTTGTAAAACTTTGGAACCACACAGTTGATTTCTTAAATCTAGTCCATGTCAACTTCCAGAACTATTAATGAATTAATTAGCTTCATTTTTTGATGCTTCATCAAAGTTTTCTACAAGATCTGGAAAAGATGGAAATATATAATAGGCTCATTATATTAAAAATGCATTATTTAGAGGATTAAAGTATATACTAGTAAAACTCTCCTGTCTATCTGTAACCTTCAATGAATCGAAACTGAAATCTGCTAACTTAAAAATGTGAATGAAATGCAAGCCCCATTACTCCTTGGAATTAATATTTCAAGGTTGTTTAGATCAGTTGTATTCACAATGTTATGGCTACTGCAGCACCGCTATGGTCAGTAACAGTCCTATAACTGACTTCCAATGCTCCCTGTCAGCTTCCCAAAAGCAAAGTCAATAGAAAAGCCAGCAGTAAGTCAAAGGTCACTCTCACTTCCATTGCTTTTTTGCCTGCCCATGGTCATTCTGTTTATCTGTTTAGGTAAGTAAGTATCGCTGAAAGAATAAGCCAATGGGTCATGGATTGTCTAACAATGAAAGAATTAAACTTGCTTTAAGCTCAAAACTTACAAATGCTTACAAAACATCTTTTGCTTTTAAGAAATTATTATAATATAGCATATCTTGGTACATTAAACAGCTTCCAATTCCTCCTACATCCAGACATTAAATAATACAACAGCTCCTAGATACAATTGTTATGGAGCCTATAACATATAGTGGTACCTAAGTACTCATAGTTAATTGGTTCTGGGAAACATGTGTACCAAAAACGAGTTCCAAACAAAATTTTCCCATAAGGAATAATGTAGTCAGTCATGAAGTAGCCAACATCAACAAGTTCTAGCTAGTGCATCGAGTACCAAACAAGTGATGACTACTGAGGCAAAAATTTTGTGTCAAAATATGTTGAGTATCAAATTTGATGAATTTCAAAGCAGTTGAGTACCAAGGCACCACTACATTCATACAGGCAGTCCCCAGATTAAGAATGTTCAACTTAAAAATAATTTATACTTAAGAACAAGCTGCCTATTACAAAAAATGGTAAAGGAAATAGTCCTATGAACCAACAAACTGAAGCTACCCAATGTTTTTAATGTACTGTATTGAATATACAGCCGTTTTTCTGAAATTCATAAAAAACATTTAATGGCTTCAGTGGTTTGTCGCCTCAAGAAAGGAAAACACCATTTACCATTTTTACTAATAGACCAGTAGTGTCAAAATCAAGGCCCGGGGAGCAGATCCAGCCTGCGGGGTGCTTAGATCTGGCCCGCCGGTCTGCACTGGAAACAGTAAAGGATCAGCCCACGGTACCTCTGACACCAAAAATGGAGTTCGGGGAGGCTGTGCATTGCCCGCCTGGGCTCAGTTTTTGCTGGCAGAAGGCCATCACAACTGAAAATGGAGCCTAGACGTGCTGCGCGTGGCCCCCCTGAGCTGTTTTCGCTGGCAGAGGACTGCAGGAGGCCATCGCGGCCAAAAACGGAGCCTCAATGAGTGATGTCAAGCTGGCCACACCTACCCTGGCCATATCACACACACCCTGCCTGCCCCAAGGTCAAACACAACCCTGAAGTAATGAAATCAGAGTTTGACATCCCTGTAATAGACCATTCATAAGTTTGAGTTTTGACTTACAAATTTGAGTTAAATGGAATTTGTTTATTAAAGAACTAAACTTGTTTTTAACCTAGGGACTTTCTGCACTTCATAATTAATATGTAGCAAAATTCTGTACTTGTTTCTAAGAAGAACCTTTTATTTATAGATCAAACCTTTAGACTGCCTCAGTTTTACTCATTATTATAAATATATACCTTATCTTACATTGTGTGTCATGCTGATGAAATGTTTTCTTTCAAAATCTCTATTCTTGGAATAGTCTTCTAATTAAAGGTAGAATCATCCTGTATCTATTCAAAGGTCATGCAGTAAAAGATAAATTCTTTTCAAATTAATCCAAACCTACCAGGAACATCATCATCTTCCTCATCAATATCTTCTGATTTTGGTACTTTGCTATCCAACACTACAAAATAAAAATATTAATTTATTTCAAGAATTCACATTAATATAGTTAATTATTTGGATTATAAAGTTGCTGTAAATTCGTTCTTGCTAAATGTGTCTATATAAACCTTCTTTTCAAAATACAGACTTGTAGTTTGTTTCACTTCACTGAATGGAGCTCTTTAAGGATCCTCTCCACCAACCTTTGACATAACGTTTGATTGGGCTACAGGAGGAGAAATTAAGTCTATTCTTGCTTTCCTCATCCATTTATTTTGTTTTCAGAGCAAAGAACCCAACTTTGCAATTCAAAGTAATGAGCATAATTCAAGCAAGTTTTTAAAAATTATTCCTTTGCAAATTTTTATGAAGTTGTTGGTAGATTTCATGAATACTTAATGCTGTTTAAAATTCAGCCTTCAAGTACTATAACTCTATAGACTACAACCTGATTCCAATTCAAGGCAACCCTTATTCTCTCTTTTTATCAGTCTTTACCAGTACACGTAACATAGTACTTACCTTGTCTTGGGAACTGCTCCGCTAACTTTCGAAGACTTGTTAAACTATCAGCACCCAATTGGCTTAAAATGCCAGGTAACATTTCCGTGATTGGTTTGGCTTCAGCATGACCAGTAATTGCAAAAGTATTTGCAGAGAGTGATGCCTGGACTTTTGGATTGTTGAAATGAATAACTGTTCCGTCATCTTTTATCATATTGACCTGTTTTAAATATAGATTTATTAGAACTTACGCATAGAGTAATATACCAAAATATAACCAATCATTATACACATAATTAAGATTTTATTCTATAATAATAAATATCCACAAGGTAATATAGATATATGTATTTAGGCTTGAAACAGATATTTCAAACAAATGCTAAAAGTTCAATCCACCATAAAAAAATTTAAAGCAAATAACATTCACATTAGTAACACAGGTATAAATTTCAGGTGGCAGAAACTTATTTCTTAGCATGCTGACTCCTTTATTTTGAGCAATGCAAAATAAATTAGGATAATGCACCTCAAAGGCTTAAAAATTAATACAAATCCATTTTGTGAAAGCTTGTTTTATTGTATTTTGATTCTACTGAAAAAATGTCTAAGAGATTTAAAGAATTACTTTTCAATCTATTTCAAATTAATAACTATTATTATTATCTGGATGTACCCCAATTTACTTACATGTTCAGTGTCTACTTCTTGTCTAATAAAAATATTGAACACTATGTAAAAGTTTATCATCCATACTGTTCCTCCAACACAATTTTAACATACAGCATGAATGTAAAGCATACTAATATTACAGCCCTGATTCAATACTACTTGCTATTCTGTATCTAAAATAAATTATAAGCAACTGGTTACTTTGTATTGTTGACAGGTTGACCAAAACACCAATCATTTTAAATGTATTCAAATCATAAAGCTAGAACCAAGGGACCTATGTTTTCAGACATTCAGAGACTAAAAGTACTATCAAACTTTAAAATACGGCTTTCCCTTTTTCACACAGATTTAAAACAAAGTTGCATTTCAGAAAAGAATCTGTCCACAACCTTTACCAGACTACAGGCTACCTATCACTCTATTTCATAATCTCTATGAATACTGAAGCATTGCAACTGTGAAGATTATGAAAAGAAGCATTCAAGTAGAACATAAAATATTAATATTGATGTACCTCTTCAATGCCAGCAATATTATTTACTGCCAATTTTTTAAGTGAACTCTGAAGTTTTTTATCATCAGCTGTTGCTGTTCTGTGGACTACCTTCTTCTTTCTACGAGCTGTACCCTGAGACACAAAAATACATACATGAATGATTTCCAAATGAAATGTTTCATATCTACTTACTTTAAAAAGTTGTTTATAAACTTTTTTTTAATCAAAAAGGACTTACAACTACAATAAAATGCCTTTCAGCATATTTTGTAGGCAGGAACCTGGTTCAAAAGATTCTTTTCCAACTCAGTTGAAAATTCTAATTTATTCCTGCTTTTACCAAAACATCTCAATTATTACAGTATGTGGTCATATGTTAAATGCATGTAGCTAGAAGGTCTAGGTGCAGTCCTTGTGATCCCTGGGTAATTCTACTTACAGGGGAGGCTCTGTTTTTGTTGCTTTCTCATTAAGCTAGAAGTCATACAATCTCTTTTCTATCTCATGTGAGCAAAAACTGCCATTAATGGTTGTTTAGGAAATATAGTGTCTATTGATGCTAATATATAGCACTGGATCATTCAATGAGAAAACCAGTTCTGCTTTTAAATAATAACATTCAACAGCAACTTTCATGTTTTTTCCAAAAAAAGAAAAAGGAAGTCCGGATTACTGTATCTATAACTATTGAACACATCAGAATGGACAACAGCCTGTGAAACAAATCCCTAATGTCAGTATTTTGCACCTATATGCACCTACACAAACATATGCAGTAATTATACATTCTAGAATATTCCTATGTTTACTATTCATACCTTTCCACCTATTCGGACCTGAGCCTGAAGTTTAGCCAGTTTTTCTTGATTCATCTTGCTTTATCTGAAAAATAAATATACTAGCTAGGCTTATGACAAATCCAGAATTCATTTCTTAAATAATTTGTCTTTCAAAACATCAAATTTATCTGTTTTAATATCATACAACATCAGTAATTTACCAAAAATAAATCCATACTTATTCCTGAACCCAGTTTGTTTGGAGAAGAAAAATATAATGGAAACATGACTGTCTTTCATTAGAAAGGAGAAAGGAGAGTTGCGTGCTCTACTTTCACTCCTAATTATAACTGGTCTTGCCCTGTCACACTGACCTTAATATGAAGGTTTGTTTTGTCTGTGAAGTGAATAGCACGAATTCAATGATACAGAATAAAACAAAGGCACTAGGGAGAATATGTACTCTATGTGATTTATTATTTTAAGCAAAAGTTTTCCCTCTTTCTCAATGCAGTAGAATAGGGGTCCTCAACCCCCCGGTCCATTACCAGGCCTTGAATCATTCAGAAATAGGCCACGGAAATGGCAGGTGAGCGTGCCCACACACATCCCCGCTTTCATGAGCAGCAGGCAACTGTGTGTGCTCCATTTGCATGAATGGTGAGCATGTGTGCCCACTGCTTGTGCGCATGGAGCTTCAAGTACTTGCCTGCTGCTCACACAGAATAGTCCTGTCCCCACCGCTGATCCACAAAGCCAGAAAGGTTGGGAAACTCTGCAGTATAATTCTATCACATAAAAATGGAGGCTAATGAGAATTAAGTCCACCTTTATCCACATATGTCCAGGTAATTATAAATCATTTCTTGCTCATGCTACAATATTAAAGAAATAAAAAAGCATATGATCAGAATATGGCAAAGTTAATGTAAATACAAGTTAGCTACATTGGTATGTTATCTATTTACTATGAATTTTAGAACAGCATTTTAAAATTCATCACCCTTATGGTACAAAACTCATAAGAAATAGTCATTTATGTACAGCTATATAATAATAGATGGGAAATATTAATATATAATTCACATGTTGATTCACTTTGCAGTAGAATTCTAACACAATTTAGATGGGTTTGAGGAAATATGTGTAGAACTACAATTCTACAAAAATACAAAAAACCCATCAAAAACAGCCAGTTAGTTTCTATAAAACTATGCTTACGTATAAGTGTATCACAAGAGTACCAATATCAGCATTTTACTTTTGATTATGTGGCGGGGTGTTTATCTGAAATAAACATGAACAAATATTAACATGAAGTCTTTTTAAAGATACCTTCCGGAGTGTCATCTATAGCAGAGGTCTCCAATCTTGGCAACTAAGACTTGTGGACTTCAACTCCCAGACTTCCTCAGCCAGCAAATCTGGCTGAGGAATTCTGGGAATTGAAGTCCACAAGTCTTAAAGTTGCCAAGGTTGATCTATAGGTCAAAATGTTTTCGCCCACATAGCTCCCCAGCCAAGGAATGCACACCTTTAGGAATAGCATGGAGCCCTTCTTTCCACTTTTATAAAAGAAATTGAGACCTTCCTCTACAAACCTTTTCAAAATGACAACTGTTTTTATAAACTATTAATTCTTTATATTTAATGATTATGGAAAGGCATATATTATTAAAAATACACTGAATGATAAAATATATACCTATTAAATTTCCCCAAGTTGTATACAATACTTGTGTTGTCATTTGTTTTCCTGCTATATCTGTGCAAACTCTTCGAATCTCCTGTAGTTATACCATTATGTTTATCTGCACTTGCATTGTTTCCCAGCATTGTCCCAATAAGCCAAGAGTTAAAAATAACCAACTTCAGCACATACCGTAATCATCAATCAAATCATCCAAACATTACTTATAGTTTAGAGATTTTTCCACTGGATTAGCAATGACATGCCCTTTAATGCTAACCATGCTGTTCTGTGCTTAGCAGAGCATGTGAAGCTCCAGCAACTTGAAAGCGAAGGGGGCATTTTTTCCCCCTCATTATAGTACAAAATGTTATATTCCACCAGACCTATATAGAATTCTAAGGTAACAATTGACTTAAATCTTTGCAGAACTGAAATACCTGTAAATTGAAAATGACAGCGTATTAGACAAGGAAACAGAAAAGGGCCCTACAAAGTTAAACCCTCACTCAAGACAGTGAGAAAGATGTTCTCAGAAAAAGGTAAAATAAATTCCTTTGTCAGTGATTTTGAAATACAAATTTGCTCACATTATGGAAAAGTAAGATGTATTAGAACAAATTTTAATCTTTAATAAAATCAGAGGTACATCTGTAACCTAAAGTAAGTGAAACAAGTACAGAAAATACTTGAGGGGGGTAATAATATATTATTCCTGCAAAATAGGCATCTATTAAGAAAGCCAAAATCGTCTCTGCTTTGAAACCTGGCATATCAAAGAATTGCTGATATAATGGCTACTTATCTTCGTCATGAGATAAAGATTGATATTACTCCTAATGGCTAATAGCAATATGCTTTATTTCACACACCTAATGACCTCTTTTTCTACCAGCAGGATGTCCATTTGTAAAAGGCAATTTGTAAAAATTGCAATACACAGATATAATACGAAGGGGGGGGGACCACTCCGGAGAAAAAACAGCGAAGACTAAAGTCTTACAATTTTAAAAACCACGAGTGTAGCGATTAGGAGAAAACTAGAGATACGTGGAAGAGTCTATATAGCGGGTTAAAAGGCCAGAGCCCAAAGCGGGGGAAAGGGTCTCACGAAACTGCCTTCTCCCCACCTAAGGAGGGAAGCTTTCAGTCCTGAGGGAAGGGTTGGAGGGAATCCAGTGGACATTTCTCCTCCGGGGAAGGAGAATAAGGTGCGACTTTGCAAGAAAGTGAGAGATCCTGGGCCCGGAGAGAAAAAATATATATTTCTTCACGTAGGGAAGTAGAAGAACCGTCACTGTTGTGTTTTAGAAAAGAGGTGGAGCTTGCGAAAGGTCCACGAGACACCTCGCTAGTCTCGGGTTGGCGGCAGAAAAGGTACATTCACACGACCGGAAGCACATAAACCAACCCCGACAAAGGGAAAGCGCGAGCGGTCAAGGCAAAGGGTCCCGGGAATGCAAAATAAGCCAACCAAGGCGGACCAAGGGAACCCGGGCTTCCCGGAGGCGAACTATTTGCCAGGCCCACTCTCCTCCCCCTCGCTCTTCGGCCCAACAGCAGCCCCTCCCACCGTGCATGGCGCTTTGCGCGCCGGCCAAGCAACCCCCGGTTCGACTCGCGGACTCGCGAGGGGCGCAAGAGCATCAGAGGGTCAAGCGGGAAGTTTTCACCTCAGTCCGACGAACCTTCCAAAAGCAACACGCGGCAACAACAAGATGGCGGTGAGGAGGAGGAGAAAGTGAGAGGGGTCTGGACCAAGAAGGCCTGGAACCACGGGACCATGGCCCCGCCCCTCTCATCCAATTGGCGGACAAAATGATTCGGGTGTATAAAATGGGCGCCGCCAGCCGCACCCTTCCACGGCTCCCGCTTCGGGCAAGTGCGACGGTTGTGTGTGCTATGCCCGACCATGAGAGGGAGGGGGGGAGGAAAAAAAAAACACTTTTACAGCGATGGATGCTGGGAGTTGTGGTTTTCCTTCGACATACCAAATCGCTTTGTTTTTAAAGCGCAGGAGCTGTTCGCACCCGAAGGAACTTGAGCAGGAACTATTTCCGTGGAAGCGGGAATCGCCGTTCTTTGAGATCCCGTTTTCATGCGTAAGAATAAAATTTCAGCTTGTGCTGCCCGTTTCAGAAGCTTAACATTCCCTCCTTCCCATCCACATGTGAAGGAGTAATGCCTACTCAGTAGGCAAGGAGGCACGTAAATCCCACCGAACATAATACGACACGGGTTAGATAGCGCTTCAAATTAGCACAGAACGGGCTCAGTCATATTTTCCCTGACAAGTTTCATATAACATCTCGTTGCTGCCCTTGATCCGAGTTTGGACTCCATTCAAAGGAACAAACAGCTCAGATGGTATCTCGATCGTCACCACCACACACAATAAAATATTTTTTAAAAAAATAAATTTTATTGATTTTACAATTAAAACAAACCAACAACACATATGAAAGAAAAAGAAGAAAGGAAGAAAATAAAGAAAAAAATAGAAAACAATTAAAAACATTCTCATCTTCAACAGTTTGTAAGACCTCTTTTTTTATCCTTATTTTATGCCATATACACACACCTAATCCTTACATATATCTGTGTATCACTACTATGGATTTATCCTATCCTCTTTTGCCTTTTAGTGTGAAGTCTATCTTTGGTCTATCCATTTGTACCAGCAGTTCCAGCTGTTGTAGTATATTGAAGTGTCTTTATTTTTTAATGCCAAAGTTAATTTGTCCATTTCTGCACACTTGAAATTTTTTGAATAATCATCTCTGATGAACATGAGGCTGCTTCCAACATTGTGCAAAAGCCAATCTGGCCACTGTCAAAATGTGTATTGTTATATATTTCACTTTTTTTGATATTTGTTTATCAAAGATCCCTAACAGAAAGGACTCTGGTCTGAATTCTTGTCATTTCTTCCAGCCAATTTCTAATTTTCTGCCAATATTATTGAGCTTCTGTACAGGACCACCACATATGGAAAACATGATAGCCTGGAGTAGGAATATAGGACGTAGCATCACCATAACAGAATGGGAAAAGGTTTGGGGTAGAAATAATAAAATTACAAAATCGGTAGCATACAAAGAAAACGCCCATAAAATGTTTTATAGATGGCACCTTCCTCCTTCGAGATTAGCGAAGATGCACCCCAATATGAGTCCGAATTGCTAGAAACGCAAAAAAGAAAAAAGGGAACTTTTTTCCAATAAAATATTTCTTGAGAAACGGCTGGGAGGTTGCAATCTCCCACTAAAGAGCTCTTTCTGTTTCCTTCAAATTTACCCCGGACTCACATTGAACAAATCCCTCCCAGTTCCTCCCCATTAGCATCACTTCCTTTTTCACGGGAGGGCTGACTTGGATTGATCAGGCTCCGCGGCAAAGCTGACCGGCGATTCAACCCGGGAGAGGAGTCGCGCTTGCTACTATGAGAGTTCGCCTCGCCTCGCTGTCCCCTCTCCTTTTTTCTTCCTTTTGCCACTGGTTCGTGGTGGCTGCAACTGAACCAGCGCGTGGAAAAGGTTAGAAATCATTTGTTCTTGTTTTCTTTTGTATGCCTGTGCTTTGGGAGGTGGGGGGGAACTGAACAAGCAAAAGTTTCCGCGCGGGAGGAGGATTTGAGCAACTGCGAAATGTTAAGGTTTACCTCCTAATTCTTATCGTTTAAGTTGCGATCCCGCGAAGTATCGACAGCAAATTTGCTACACAGACCATGAGATGGTCGTTGAACGATTTGTGAGAATACATTACTGTAAATCGTTCAGAGATTTACCCCAAATGTTTCTGTTTCCAAAGTTCAAGTCAATAATTTTTAATCTTATTCTGATTTTTTTTTTTAAAAAATTTTAAAGTGATAGTCTAATGCACAATTTTGCATTTAGCTATTAAATGACTAAATTATTTTTTTAAGTCAATTTGGTGTTTGCTATTAGTTAAAGATAAAGTAGGTAATGGGGCATGTCTTCTAATTTAACACTTGACATTCAGCTGGGTCTCCCTGATCATAACCTGCTTTTTCTACTATTGTATCAATTCTATTTAGTGGATGATCAGGTGAGGTGAACAGATTGATTGTTATTTAAGATACAGTAGGAATAACCAACCTCTAATGGCCACGTACACACCTTAAAGTGCCAGTTATATGCAAATTAACTTCTTTAAATTTTAAGCAAAAAGAGAGGAAATAACTGAATCTATTCACGATTGTGCCACCAAGTATTATTAGCTGACAAGTTACTCCTGAGGCTTTCCGGCTGTCTGCCAAATATAGATTGAAGTATCTGAACTATTTTTAAATTTTAGTTCTTTGCTTTTCATGTTGCTTGATTATGATTTCTCAGAATGCTTTTTTCTATCTGACCTTCATTTCAGAGTAGGCTTACTTGCTTTGTAGAATAGAAACTAATGCAGCACAATCCTCAGTGTCAATGACACAGATTTACACAGCTTCTGTATTTAAGGACAAACATGATACTTTCTTTGGGAAGGAAAATATAAAAGTAACATATTGGTTATTCTAAGAAAGGAAATTCTGTTCTTTGCGAAGTTTGAATTATTCTGCAGTTAGCAAAGAATAAATGTTTTTACTCTGTAAGTAAGGTTTTCAAAGTAACTATTCTAATTATGCTTTGGGGTAATAATATGGATTTTTTTTAGTATAAGCAGCCAGTTATCGTAAATCTAAGGTTTTCAAAGTACTGAGCTCCAATGTTGGAAGCCTTGGTATTCATAATTATTTTTCTACAAATGTGTAGAATGTGAGCTATGTCACACTGTTTCCAATATGTGAAAATATTAGGATGAATTTAAACTGTAATGCATCTAAAATAGGTTGCCCTATTTTAATTGTGCAACTTTTTGTTATAAGTCTCTTAAAAACAAGCTTTCTTTTAATGTCACAATTTTTTAAATATAATATTCTTACAGAGCTGTGCTGAGGCAGTATGATTTTCTGTGGAGTTTCATTAGCCCAGTTCTGAAGAAATAGACATAATGCAGTTTACAATGAAAATATAACATTGCTTTCTCTACAATAAGTTCATAAGATTTCATGGAGTCACTGAGGACTTTCTGAAAAATGACATTTGTGTTTACCAATCTAAGTAATTACAAATGATAGATATTTTTACATACTGTAATGAATGTTTTAAATCAGGGGTCGCCAAACACCGGGCCATGGACCAATAGCAGGTGAGTGAGCAAAACCAAAACCACCACCACCACCTGGTTTGTGGAAAAATTGTGTTCCTCGAAACCGGCCCCTGATGCCAGAAAGTTTGGAGGGCCATTGTTTTAAATTACACAGTATATATTTGCTCTTTCCTTCCAAGGTTTTGGAGATCACATTCACTGGAGAACACTAGAAGATGGGAAAAAGGAGGCTGCAGCCAGGTATGTTGTAATCTTAAACTGTCTGCACAGACATGTCCTAAGTTGAATCAGTTCAGCACTAGGCATCTAGAGCAGTGATCCCCAACCTTTTTTATGCCGTGGCCAGGTACCGGCATCAGCTGGGCGCCGCCATCTTTTTTGGATGAAAAAGTGCTTCCGGTGAGCTTTCTACCCGGAAAAGCTCACCGGAAGCACTTTTTCATCAAAAAAAGATGGCGGCGCCCAGCAACCAGCGGCCCGGTAGGACTTGTTCCGCGGACCGGTACCGGTCCACGGACCAGTGGTTGGGGACCCCTGATCTAGAGAACTTCAACCTCAGCATTCAGACCTGAAGGGATTTGGGGAGAAGATGTCTGTTGCTAAAGTTTTGGTACTAGCGCTAAGCCTTGGAATGGAATGCAGCTGATGAATATCATGTTGCACAAGTTCAGAAGTCTCTGTTACTACTGAATTGATCATGCTCTGTAAGACTCAAGAAGTCTGAGCAATTAGAAAATATTTACTCTCAAGAGTCAAGGGAAAATAATTATGTATTCATTTCTACTCACTCCACCCTCCTTTCCTGCTAGCGTCATCTTGTGTCCCATTTGTAGACAGAAGTAGATGGAAGAAGCAGGAAAGATTGAAAAAGAAAAAGCCTATTCTAAGAAAAGAATGGGCTAATATGAAAGTAACCTCCATTCCAATCTGTGGGATTTGACAAAACCTATCATTTGTTTTAGAATGAAATACTTTTTAGGTAAGAACAAAAAACATATTGTTTGGAAATACAGCTACAATGGGATGTCCAACTTTATTTAAAATAGATTCTGTAACTAATATCTGTGCTTGAAAGTAAGTGTAAATATTAAGAATATTTCACCTTGCTGCAGAACAGATGTGAAGCTATTCGTGATATTCAATGAACCATATAATATATGGGCCCAGATTTGTGTGGCTTTCTAGTGTTTTCTAACCATAGCTCCACCAACAAATATTGCTGCCATGCAGAAAGAATCTGGCTTCCCAAAGACAGACCGTTGAATACTTCCAGTATTTCTCGGCTTCACCAACACTACCAGCTCCATCACTGCTGCTACTAAACAGCTGATTATGCCCCATAATTACTTTTAATCAATGTGGCCCTTTCCTATGAGTTGCATAGATTTGTTCGGGCAGGTGATTTAGTATTACAGCTTTAATACATGATGAGCTTGGAATTGAACTATGTGTTGATAATTACTTAAATTGTATATTTCAATTATTTTTAGTGGATTGCCTCTGATGATAATAATTCATAAATCTTGGTGTGGTGCTTGCAAAGGTAAGACATCACAGGCAACATTAGTGATGTTTCATGGAATAACAGACGGGAAATTTGCA